GTTGTTGGACATCTATAAGCCTGAGCCAGCATGGCCAATGGGCAGGGATGATGACAGGTGTTGTTCACATTTACAGCCATATAATCTATTCTTGCATATCTGTAAATTATTAAGAAGGGAATAATGAGCAGCTTTAAGGCCTCCTTTGCTTTTCCATGCATCTTGATGGAATTTCAGACAGCCAAAGGCTGTGTTTAATTTGCATGGAACCTAATGAAACCTTTGGCAATTTGAGCACAGGGTAATTCATGAATAATGATTCTGGACAGTGTCTGGCCCCTTGCCACAAGCAGGAGATGCAAACTGCTCTATGCCAGCTCTCAGAGTGAAGCTCGTTTCTCAGGTTGGGTTGAGCAGTTCATTCCACTGGGCTTGTAATCAGATGGCTCCTCCAGGTGACCTGTGAGCCTGCTTTCCATACACAAAGTTTACACAGAGATTAGCCTATGTGCAGTCTTTACTGGGCATTTGTTTTGCTTTTTTTACTGGAAGATGATGCAGCAATGAGCATTTATCTTGATTTGCTTGTGGGGTGGTTATACATCTGCACGTTAATCATTCATCCCACACTTTTAAATGTTTTTCACTGACACTTCCCAAACTACAAAGAGTCTTATTCTTCTTAGAAGTTGCCTATGTTAGGATAACCATGCCCCTTAATCGACTTTAACCATACATACCTAAAGTTCTGGAAATAGCAGACCCCGGGGGTCTCAAATTTCAGTGGTGCCCTGTGAAATGCCAAAATTTGGTGCCCCCTGACTCTCACACTCCATTTTGCCCCTAACCTCACCCCCATATTGTTTATTCGTTTCAACATCTCCCCTCTTAATGCAGAGGGCTTTTTGCCCAAGCTACAATGTGCATTCCGGTCCCTACTCTTACACTTACACACACACACACACACACACACACACACACACACATCTCCCTCTCAGTACAGATAGGAGCAAATCCTGCATCCTCCTGTGCATCAATGTAAGAAAGGAGAGATGGTTCTTGCACATCTCCACCACCCTTAATTCCCTTCCCTCCCTGTTATTCGTGGACAGTGGATGGGACTGGTGTTGAGCTTCCATATCTAGGGACAGCTAGTGCAAGTGGAAGGATAAAGCCTATGTGTACTGGTATCATTGTGGCTCAACGTTTTTCAAAGATCCTATTAGAACATTCTAAGGCAAAAGTGAGAACGTGCTTCAAAACACGCTTTATTTTAAACAGCACAGCTTTTCTAAGAAACATAATCACTGCTGCTCTTTCACCCAGTCAGATTTTCTAGCCTGCAGCCAGGCAAAGTGAACCAGTACAGACAGTTGGTAGGTGTTCCTCTATAATTAACTCCATTGCCAGAACAACAATTGGCAAGCAACTATTGTTTTGAGTGCAATTAGAGAATGCAAAGAATGCCACTGCAAGGCTGCTGGATGCATCAATGTAATCTTTTGGAGGGGAATAATGTATGTGTTTAGTTACTGATGAGGAACTGTAGGAGGAAGGCAGGCTGCATCCGATTTGAAATGAAAGAGAAAAACATAAAGGTGCCATCTCAGTGACAAATGTGTAAGTTCTCACTGGATTTATGTTGATAAAGGAAGTTTATCTAAATAGGTCTCTCTTATCATATCTGAAATTCCATCAGGGCAGCTGTATACTATGGTTTATGGCTTCAGCATACTAGGCCAACATTGCCTCCAGGACGTTTCTGGTAATAGGTACACATTGTCTCATCATAACAGTATATTAAAATGCCAGGATGACGTGCTGTTATTTCTATGTGTAGGCAAAGCTGAGGCATTGTTCATGGAATAAAAACAGGACCTGAAAGTGCACCAAGTCAGGTGCTGGCTTCATATTTCATATTTCAAAACAAAATACATTTCTAATGTTTTTTGCTTGTAGACCTTATACCAAACCAGATCATGGACCCATTTAACTCAGCCTTGTCTTCAATGAGTGGCAGCAGCAATCCAAGGTTTCAAGCAGAATCTTTCTCAGCACTACCAGGAAATGGCAGGAATTTGAACCTGGGGCCTTTTCTGTGCAAAGCTTGTGCTCTTTCACTGAGCCATGGCCCTTTCCCACTCATGAAAGACACTTTTCTTCTAAAAGGTTTGAGAAGATCCCAGCAACTGAAATTTATTGACCTGACAAACCACTAACAAAAATGGACACCCTCTCACCCAAAGCTTTCCAAACTGTGTGTTGCAACACATTAGTGTGTCGGCTGCAGTGTGTAGGTGTGTCGCATGAACAATCCCTGTGCTCTTCCTGCGGCTGGAAAGGGGTTAGTTTAACCTCTGGTTTGCTAGGAAAACTGTGTCGTGAAATGATGCATGTCTAAAAAGTGTGTCACCAACATGGAAAGTTTGGAAAGCTCTGCTCTAACCAGAGTTAACCTGTTCCAAAAGGGGAGCAGTGTGCCCAATGTTTCAAGTCAAAGCACCCCTAAACATTGCAGCTAGCAAAAGATTATGATGATTAAAAATATTGTAGGTCACCTTTAAGGGCAAAAGACCTATCAAGTTGGCTTGCAAGATATAATAGGCTACAACAACATAAACTTAATAAAACCAGAAATAAATAACAAACCAATCAGACCCCCAAATGTTAAAAATCCAGTAACAAGATACAACTAAAACCATCAATCCAGCAAGCACATCTCAAAAGTAAATCAAAGAAAACAGATGCATCGTCAGGTTTTGCAAAAGGTCTATAATGGTGGTACCTGTCAGATCCCAGATGGCGAAACATTACAGAGATGTGGGGCCAGTTCAACGAAATCACAATTCATACATGTGTGATATAAACTGATGTTCAGTTGTGACCACTTCATGTTAACAATCTAGGATGAAGCTGTTGAAAACCTATTCTATGTAGTAGTTCTTCCTGTAGGGCTTTTAATGTTTGTACATTTCTTTCCATATAGATCTTGCTCATCTGAAGACATATTATGCCAATGCTACTTCACAATGTTGGGCCAGGGAGAAGCTTACAAACAGTATGGGATATGCAGCCCAGTCCTATGCCAAGAGGTAACCCTTAACTCATTGAAATTCGTAAGACCAGATTGAAATCACTGGACTTGGGTATGCTTAGCTCTGCATAAGGTTGCAGCCTTAATTCTCATCATTTAGAATGTTTGCCCCTATGATGTCACACAGACACACACACATCTATATCTAGATAGATAGATCAATCACATTAGCAAAACCACCATAGAGGGCAGGAATAGGAAGTCTTTGGCCCTCCAGGTGCTGTTGGGACTCCCAGCCAGTTTAGCCAAGGATTAGGTATGATGGGAGTTGCAACATCATGAGGATCATAGGCTCCTCACCTCTGTTGCAGAGACAGAATATAACCTTATGCTGAATGGCTTTTGTGCAGGTGCAAAGATCATGAGTGTGTCTCTTAGAATCAAACTAGCCTATCAAGTAAAGCTCTTACTCAACTGAAACTAGTGTGCAATTCCAATGATGAAAACTTCTAAGCTTATCAGCTGTTATTAGCCTTCAACTCAAGTCTTCTGTGCCTTGGATTACAAGGCAATCTTTATTATAATGGGTGGGGTGGCATAGTGAATGTCTGGTTTTTTGGGTAGGCAGGTCTTCACTTACTGATTCTAACTGGGTTGAATTTGGCTTCAGGCATAAGTCAATAAAACTGACTTCTGTTTACATGCCCGTTGAATGAATTCATTCTTGTGCAATGCATTCCTTCTTTAGCATATCACCACTAGGGGACAGTTTAAGACAACAGATACATCAAAAAAAAAAATTCTACAATTCTGGGAAGGACAGGGCCTAAATCTCCTCCGTCATGAAATTCACTGGGCAGCTTTGGGCTAGTATGACACTAAGTGAGGCTGCCTACCTCTGAACCTCTAATAGTTGTGAAGGCTGCATTCTGACATAAATGCTGCTACGTATGCAAACTGCAGCACTTTGCCTGCACCATTATTTTGCTAATCTACAGAATAGGCATACAGGAGACTGAAGGAACCAGAGACTAAATGGTGTGGTCTCTAGGAGGACTGAAAATGCTTATTCAGCACCACCAAATGGCTATGACTTTTCTCTGAGTAAGACACAATGAAGGTGATTCAGCTGAGGTCAACAAGAGCCTTGGAACAGAAGATAAAATGGGAAGACAGAGCTAGAGAGAAGCAGGCAAGCATCCCAGTGAAGTAGAAAGTTCTGCAAGTGGCCCGCAAGTCATGGGTGAGGACCCGATAACACACATTGCCTTATATAGGGCACAGACTATAATTTCACCCATCCTAGTAGTACGGTAGCTAATCCATCTGACAGCCATTGTTCAAAGTCTCAGGCAGAGGTCTACCTCAGGCATAGGCAAACTCTGGCCCTCCAGATGTTTGGGACTACAACTCCTATCACCCCTAGCTAACAGGACCAATGGTCAGGTATGATGGGAATTGTAGTCCCAAAAATCTGGAGGGCCAGAGTTTGCCTATGCCTGGTCTACCTCCTGTCAGACACTTTGCCCAGAAGTTTCTACCTGTATGTTGCAATGGATATGCTCTTCCATTAACTGATGGCTAAGCACAGGAGAAAGGATAAATATTCCATCTCTTGAAGGAATTAAGATACATAAAAAAATAGAAGGGGTCATGGGGTCAGTGTAGGTCCTCCCCTATCAACTGTGGGTGAAACTGCCCTGAGAATTCACCTGAGAATCTTAACAAAGGTGCACCCAATTAAACTCCATAACATGCTCCAGTGTTGCTGAATTAAAGGCTGTGATCATCAAAATCTCTATTACAGGGTTTCATGTTACAACCAAGACACATGTGGGTTTATGTCATTGTGTGAAGTGGCTTCATGTATCAACACAATTCAGACATGTATTACAAGAGTATTACCTAAGACATACAGGTGAAGTGTGCCTGTAAGATGCAAGATGTTCTTCATTCAGTTTGGTATTTAATGCTATTCATCCCATCCCACCCCTGACCTAATAAGAGATGAATAGAAACAATGAAATTACACTTAATTCGTTTTAATAGATGCTCTAGTAAAAATGAACAGAACATGTGAAAACAAGAATTACTGGTGCTTCCTGAAACTGCTACAATATACTACTGCACTAAGGAAAAATATTAACGGTTAGATTACCTAATACAACTTAACACTACACATTAAATTGGACATCATAAAAACAATCCCAACTTGTTTCTCAGATTTTAGCGCTAGTATTGGTAATTCAATGTGAATGCATCATCAGCATAAAAAGAATGCTTATTGTACAGCAACTAAAAGTCTGAGAAACTGGATTTCATTAATATTCATGTGCATAACCATTTGTTGATTTTTTTTATTAAAAAAATCAGTTAACAAAACAAAACAAATAACCATGGAGCTAATTACACAAATAGCCCAATATAGCTGATGCTCTTCTGTCTTACTTGGTAAAAGTCCAAAATCACTGGGTGTGGGGATCACACTTCAACCGGCATTATTACTGGATAGAATCCATGAACTTCAAGACAACTTGCATGAAACACTCATGTATATCCCAGTCAAATGAATGGAAAGAGCTGCATAGTTCTGTCTCTGTGCCTGGCATGAGCTCCAGAGAACCGACCCTACTTCAAGGTTATCACTTTTTGTTCCTGTGGTATGAAGGCACAAATAATTGAATAATACATACTATTATATATTCAAACACTTAAGTATAAAATATTAAATTTTACATTTATGTCAAAATAATTTACCAAGTATTAGCTGCACCAATATTCAGGCTGTACAGAAAAACTGTACAAGTTTGGTAAGCAAGGACAGTTAGTCAACAATTTACATGAGCAGGTGTCTGTGATTCAGGAAGTAGTTGGTTAGCAAACAATGCAATCCTCTGCATGTTTATTCAGGAAATAAGACCCAGTAGGTTCAGTGGGACTTACTCCCAGGTAAGTATGCACAGGCTTGCACCCATAGACTTTCATAGTAAGTTGCACAAATTGTTTCAGTCAAAGAAAGGCCTAATGTCAGCAGTAATTCCCAAGCTGTACACCATGAGAAGGACTGACAAAACGTGTCCTAAAAAACTAAGCTGCTATGACAAAAACATCTGCCACCCAATGCAACATTGATTCCCTTTTCTCACAAATATATGAGCTGCAGCAGCATCCCAAGCAACGCTCCAAGATTCCTTAAAGCCTACAGGACAGTAGGAGGAGGAATCCTAGCAACATTAGCACTACCCAAGAAAGCACAGTGCAACCCCTACACCTTACTCACTGGGTAAAAGGGAGGGTTGAACACTTGGCAGTTAGGATTGACACTATTATCCTGCATTTGCACAGATTATACTGTCCATTATTTTGAAAGCTGAATGGAGATATATATCTGAGTGAAGAACAAAGCATGCCTTCAATTTTAACCCAGAAAGAAAGACTGCTTCTCAGGTATCAAACATTTGAGCAATGCAAGTCTACAGTGAATATTATAGTATACTATATAGTATACTATAGTGTGTGTGAGAGGGGGGGGGAGGGAGAGAGAGAGAGAGGGAGAGAAAGAGAGGGAGATTCAATACTGATTTTTCTTAAGTGATATGTGTTTGAAGCACAATGCTTGATCTGAAAAGTTTAGCACACACCCAAGGGGAGGGGAAAATCTCCCCAGCACATCAATATTTCTGTCATTATAATTTTTCAGTTTGCCAAAGGTAGACAGGTAGCAGGAATACTGCATATAAGAATTTATAATACAAAAAATATTTAAATGTATGTTAAGTTTACCAGTATTGGGCTCAGAATTCCTAAGGAGACTTCCTAGAAATAGAAAAGGATTGCCAGAATTCTGACAAAAGGTTTCTCCCAAGAAAGACAAAACATATATTCCTAAAAATTGCAAACAGTTGTCCAAAATTTGCAGATAGCTATTGCTAAAAGATGAGAAACCAAACAAAGCCCAGGAGCTGCTTAAAGTACTGCTACTCCCCCACTTTCTCCTTATACACTTCAGGCTTGTTAAGATGCTACTCCCTCAAAATTGTTTTCCTGAGATAGCACCCAATATCTACAGAGAAAGGAATTCTGGGGAATTTCAACACAGTTTTAGCAGCTAAAGCTACTGTGCTTCTCCAGGAGATTCTGGACTGTAGCAAGCAGAGATGAAAAGTTTACATAATATGTTACAGCCTCAAACCAGTTCAGAGTTTGTTAACCGAAAAGGTATTTCAATTGGTCCTTGTTTCACTTCTCCTTCCCCTAAGCCAGTGCCAATTTCTAAAAAATCAAGTGGGAATTAGAACCCCCACACTTTCCTGATCTATATCTGGGGTTGCCAAACGGTGGTCCATGGATCACTGGTGTTCCATAAGCTTCATTCAGGTGGTCTGTGGATATGTGGTTGAACAGGCACTGGCATGCCTGTTGCTTTCAATATTCATACTGATTTTTAATTGTTTTTAATTGTTTCCTTTAATGCTTATACCATATTCTATTGCATTACAATTTGAATTCTAGGGAATACAATAAAATACAATGTATAAGAATTAAAAGAAGCAATTTAAATGTAATTTAAAAGTCATTCAGTATCTAATGCAGTTCATTACAATTCCCACTACGTGCAAAAAGTAAAATAAAATTGAGTGAGCCACAAAGATCCTCAGCAATTTTAAAGCAGTCCATAGAGGAAAAAGTATGAGAACCACTGATCTACAGAATTCATTTCAAACACAATTTGTGTGCAGAAAACCAACTTTTGACCTCCGGCCAATTCTGCTATAATAATGTTCCCTGTATGTGCAAGCATGAAAATGCATTAGACATTAATGTGCACCAGTCATTTAATATTTTGTAGTCCTGTGCAACTTGTTCATGGAAACCTTGAAACAAAGCTAGTATGAAATTATTCCTTTTAGATTTCACACACACACACACACACACACACACACACACACACACCATTCATTGCTCAGAAGTGCCCTTTTTCCCCTTCCAACTCTTCTCTCTCTGCTCAAGTTCAGCTTCAGTGAAGGCTGCTGGTCCCCAGTTTGTGATGAAGTGAGGATTCTTGGAACCTATAAGACACAATATGTTACTTGTAGTACTTTGAATAGGTATGACCCATTCCAGATCTGGCCTTGCTTAGTTACTTGCAATAAGTTGTGCCATAATATAGATGCCATCGAAAGTAATGCACATGGACAGAGATCTCTGCACTTGGATATGCATCCAATGTATGCTCTTTGGTTTCTGATCTAGCAAACAATGTTAATTTCATTTTCATTTCAGGGTGATAGGTTTTTCAAAATTACCGTATTTTGCGCCCCATAGGACGCACCGCCCCATAAGACGCACCTAGGTTTTTTTGGGGGTGGAAATAAAGAAAAAAAAATTATTTCCCCCCCAGGTGTGGGGCTGGCGCGGGGGAAGCCTGAGCTTCCCCCGACCCAAGCCCCCAGAACAAACTGCTGCCTGCAAGCCTTGCGAGCCCCGCGGGACCTCCCGCTGGGCGCGGGAGGCTTGCAGACACCTTCCCGAAGCAGGGGGCGTCCTCCGGAGGGCGCCCCATGCTTCGGGATGCAGGCTGCCGCCCCAAGCCTCACGCGCCTGGCGGGACCCCCCAAAGCACGGGGCGTCCTCCGGAGGGTGCCCCGTGGTCCGGGCTGCAGGCTGCTGCCCGCAAGCCTTGCAAGCCCGCGGGAACTCCCCCAGGCTCGCAAGGCTTGCGGATAGCTTCCTGAAGCCTGGAGAGCGAGGGGGGGCGGTGCGCACCGACCCCTCTCGCTCTCCAGGCTTCAGCGAAAGCCTGCATTCGCCCCATAGGACGCACACACATTTCCCCTTCATTTTTGGAGGGGAAAAAGTGCGTCCTATAGGGCGAAAAATACGGTATATAGCAAGTTCAAAATCGGACCTGATCATTATAATTCTGAAGAACTGTGCCTATTATTAAACCAGAATACAGCTTTTCCGTGTTTGACCTTTTTTGCAAACATTACCCTTCTCATCCCCAAAATGTCATGCACCTAATTCCCTTGCCAGTCCTATTTTCCAAATGGTGAACTGAGAACTGACGATTGTGGCTGATGCTCTAAAGCCTATGAGGTTGGGATCTGAACCCAGGCTTCCAAGACTGATAGACAATATTCTACCCGCCATGCTAAAATGATTAGAGAATAGTTGTTGTGTTAAGAATGTTAAAATAATGACGTAGTCATTCTACAATGAAGAGCCCTAATATACGAACTACACAGCACCTATGTAGCTAGGCAAAAAGTTAGGTAATGTAGCTCATTGCTGATCAGATCTTCCTTTTTTCATGCTGTGCTACCTGGAGCCCAGTTTCTCAGTACACAAACTGTAGTTTGTACCAATGGGCCACCTGGAGTCAGGAATTATCAGCCTTCTCTCCAACCTGGGCTTCATTTATGAGATGTCCACTCATAGTATGTATGTATGTATGTATGTATTTACAAATGGTTAATATTAGCCATGGGCATCAAATAACCCCAGAAAAACAGGGAACAATTGCCCAATATCAGTCAAGTACTGTTCTGGGCTTATCATGGGGGAAAATATTTAAGAATTAATGGGTTTGTGTTATTGTAAATTGTATGGAACTTTTGCTTTGCAGAACAAGCAAGATATGGATTTTATAAATAAATTACTATGGAAGCATAGATAGGATTTTATCTCGCGCACATTTTCTTGGAAATAAGTTTAATTCTATTTTGCGGAAATTCTGTCAAATAAATTTGTTTAGTAATGATGTGTCAGAGCCAATTCTCCAAGATCCACCAGCTTTTCAAATAGTCTTGGGATCACGGTGAGTAACAGAGAAGCTCTTACCCTAAAGCCCACTGAAGCAGCAGCATATCTCTTATTAGAATTTAACTCAGAAACCTGACTCTTGCTGAACCAATAGATTAAGCTCATAGGAACGGTTAGTGCTTGCTGATATATCACGTATTTCCTTCATTATGTTTTTACTCAACAAAGATGATTAATAGGAAATTGAAACAGCAACTTCCTCACTTCAGGAAAAACACTAAGAAGTACCCTGTTGAAGCTTAAATTGAACTAGAATGCATCTCGTAGCTGATAAGAACAAAACTAGAGTATGATCTCCACACAGCTGGAATGTGAAACATGTTACAGAAATAATCAAAACAAAACCAGGGGATTGTGCTACCGCCTAGGATTTGCCATTTTCTTTATTTCATTTCACTTCCTTGACAAGCTATCCAAGGTGGGCTATAAAATATAATTACAGTAGGATCACTTCTTATGCAGAGATTATGTTCCGGTGGATTGTGTGTGAAGCCAAAATTGCATACAGTCAGAACAACTCCAGAACCACCCCCACAAACATCTCTACTTTTCTGAAGCCAGCACACCAAGTGGGCCTGGCCCGCAATGCAAGACAAAGAGCTTTTGGGTTCTCCACCATTCTTACTGGGCTCTGGGAGACTCCTGAGAGATCTCGCGGGAGCCACCCAGAGTCTGCACGAGACCTTTCCCTGAGCCTGTTAAGAGTCTGAGAGCTTAAAAGGGCTTTCCACAGTGGGGAAAACACAGTGCACAAAGAGCTTTTAAGCACCCCGCCTTGCTTACTGGGCTCTGGGAAGCTCTTATGAGATCTTGGACAGCCCACGCAAGAGGCTCCCAGAGCCCAGGAAGCATTTCTGACAGCTTTTAGCTCCCTGTCTTGCATGCATTTAAGTTGTGCGATATCAGGTTGCTGGCCACCAAACACATAAAGCTGTGATAACCCAGGTTAAATGCGTGCAGGTTACAATCCTACTGTATAAAATAAATGCAATATATCATTTTAATAGGGGGGAAACCCCTACCAAAGAGTGCTTGTGAGGAGTCTTGCAGGCACCTACAATCTCAGCTGGCATTGTTTGCTTGCAGCACAGTCCCCTTTATTCAGATTTAAAAATAAAAATCATGTTTTCCAGTCTGCAGCATTTCCCAGTTCACTAAAAGGAAGTGCAGCCCAGGCTGACTCAGTAACAGTTCAGACTTCTTGGAAACCACAATAGGTTACTGGAGATAGAAATAGCACCACTCATGTGTGGATTCATGAATGAAAACTGTACTTTCCTACCTGGTTCAATTAATCGAATTAGTCCCTCGTGGTGAGCAACTTTATCTTTCCAACTCTTGGTCTTGTTTGCTGCAACTTCCAACTTCTTTTTGACCTCCTACAGCAAGATTAGATCGGTTTAAGCATTAACAATACACGGACACTCAAATGATAGGAGATTTCTGCTAGTGCCACTGCCCAAACATTTTACTACCTAAAATATTGCACTAGCTAACCTCATATTGTTCCAGTGCTTCCTTCCTATCCAGTTCCAGTTGTTCTAACTGTTGCAGGGCAACTTGAAGAGCATGTTCCTTCATCATTCTCTGGTTTTCCAACTCCTGCTTCTCTGCTTCAGTCACCTCAATGGTCTGCTGCTGCTCCAAATGCCATTTCTCCAGTTCTTGTCTCTTTGTAGATTCTTCCTCCAGTAGTCTAGAAAGAGTTTATAGTGATTGGGAAAGAGTGTATACATTAGGGACATCACTATCTATCAATTTGATTAACAATCAAGAATAGACACAGTTATTCTCCAGGTGTGTAGAACAGGTCAGTGGGAGGGGTTTTTGCTTTCATGTTCCCATCCTGCTTGGCAACCATGCTTGGAGTATAAATAATCTCCCATATAAGATTAGCCGATGCCCATGGGATGTTTTCATCACCCACTTCAGCCTATAGCTCTGTTTACAGACTTCACCCATCAGATTTCACTAAATCTGTCTCTTGACTGACAGACAGCTCTGGGCTGAGAGACTCAGTTCACTGTCACCCATGCTACTGAATGCCAGAGGCAGAAAATACAATGATGCAAGGACAAGAGAATTCTGCCTGACTGCAGAGATATTCAGATTGCTTTGTCACTTCCCAAATCTCTCTCTCTTCAAGCATTCCCCTCGATTAGATACATGAATGGCAACCCTATCACTCAGTATGAAGTACTGAGTAGCCTAAGATTTTATTCCTATTGCTATAAAAATATATACTGACCTGGCCTGAAGTCTCCTGACAGTCTCCTCATCCTGGCGTGCCTGTTTTTCATCCTCCAAGGCCTCCTGTAGCTGCTTATACATTTCCTCGAGTTCCCGGACTCTCTGCAAGTACTGTTCTAGCTCAGATGACTTCTGGGCTACCTGTTCTTCCATTTTCTGTCTCACCTGGTGATATGGAAGAGAAGGATGCTTCATCATACTTCACAACCAATAACAGAATTCATCCTTTTATGTAAGAGAGAGAGAGAGAGAGAGAGAGAAAGAAAGGGAGGGAGGGAGGGAGGAATCCTTCCATCTGCCCACCAGGTTTCCCATCCCCCAAACCCTCATAAGTTTGCAGCTGTGATTTTTCCTTTTCATCAGCAAATAAACCTCTTGGCCCTTTCTTTTCCAAACATTGCTGCAATCCCCGCCTTGTTTCTATGTACCTATTATTAATTTGGATCATCAAGCTTTAATCTATTTATTAAGATAGATCATTTTTAGACTCACAAATTAAACAGCTAGAACTTGCCCCTTCTTCGAGCTATTTTGGTTCTAAGTTCATTACTATACTAGAGGGATTGAATACATAATATTAAAAATTGCCTTTACTTCCAGCAATGATCAGCATACCTTTGTTTCTTACATTTTAAATGAAACTGCAGGCTTCTGAAATATTAAATGTTATGTAAACATTAAAACTCAGATGATTAACTGATAAGACCTAGTTAACCCCTTCATCATTACACTGAAAAGGTACTGACTTGGTCCCTTATTTGTCCATGTAACTGCTACATACCGGGATGGAGAGGGGCAAGGGAGCAGTGAGGTATTTGTGGTAGACCAGTAGAAGTACCAGATTGACTTCAACAGTGTGTTTGCCTTCTCATGCCACCCAGTATGCTGCAGCAGCTCAGCAGGTGGGTGAAGGACAGGTGGGTGCCACCACACCTCACCAGCTGCTACTGCCTTAGTTCCTGCTACATTATCCTTCAGCAGATTCAAAGATGCCATACACCTTTCTCCTGTCACTATGACATCATCTGTCTCCTTACGGCAGTGTTTCTCAAACTTGGGTCTCCAGCTGTTGTTGGACTACAACTCCCACCCCTGGTCCTGCTAGCTAGGGATGATGGGAACTGTCATCCAACAACAGCTGGAGACCCAAGTTTGAGAAACACTGCCTTACCATTGCACAGTTTGCCTGCCCTTTTCAAGCTTACTGTTCCTTCCATTCTGCACAAGCTAATGCTTATTTCTTGTGCCCAAAGAAACAAGGCACTGTACAGTATGACACAACATTGACACTGACTCAACTGCCCACAAGCTTACAATCTAAACAGACAGATCTTGAGGAAAAGGCACACAATGATACCACTCCTTGATGTGCCCTAATTCCTCTGGGCCAGTTAGCTGGTCAAGTTCAGAACTATACATCACTCAGCAGAATCCTGAATCAACAACATATGAATTTTGATTTGGTTGTCTCACTTACTGGTTGCTTTGCTCTTTTTATTGTTTTATTTTACTGACTTTGTCACCTGGGATGCATTCAGATGCGGTTTGATTATGTTAGTTTCACAAGTTATGATGCTAGTGCTTCTGTCCCAATTTCTAATGTTGCTTTTACCACTGCAGGACCTGTTGCATTATGGAACTGTGGCTTTTAAATCAAAATATCACCATGTTGTGCTAAACTTTTGAACTGCATGCCCCAAATCTCATTACGTGTGCAGTGGTGGCATGATCATGAAAACCATGGGAATACCACAGAGTAAAACTCCCATGGTTTTCCAAGTTAATGGAGTTGCAAACAAAAAAATTTTTACTAAAAAAATTAACATGGAATTGAGCACTAAACTTTCACCAGATTTCCAGAAGTCGCTTTTACATTGTGTGGAAGATCACATAAAACATAGAAATTCAAAGTAAAGAAAATGTTGGGAAGATAGAATGAAGCGCTGTCTGAATGTAGCCTTACTCTCCTTGAACTTACCATTTTCTCTCTCTCCAGCTCAAGACTGAATCGATCTTGCAATTCCATTTGAGTCTGCAGACGTTTGGTCTCCTCTTCTGAAGCTCGAGCTGCAGCTTCCTCGAGTTGCTGTGCCAGAGAAGAAAGAACTAGATAGCTCCCACTAATTTATCTATATGCACAGATACAGATCGACTATTTCTTACTTTATTGCTGTGGCATTTGGTTTTTAAAACTGTATTTCATTTTAACAGTTTGTAAATCAATCTGGAAACAACATATTTTTGAAGGGTGGGGTACAGATTAAAAATCAAAACAACTATCTTCAATTAAGCTGAGTTAAGTCTCAGGCCCTGGAATCATGAAGCTGTAAGGATTGAAAGGTCTGAAATGGCGAGATAGTTTAGCAGACTTTACTGAGGCTACATTTAAAACATTCCTAACCAAGTAACTCACATCAACCAGAGAACAGCACACAGACAAACAACAGCACACAGGAGAAAGTTACACCATCACTACCTGTCAAACAGGATATAAGATTAGTTTACCACACCTAGGCAAGTAAATAGTGCCACATGCCAAAATGATGGTCCTATCAAAAGCAGATAAGCATACTCTGAGCCCCACAAAAACATGGGAGAGAATAGGCATTACCAAAGATTCATGCACACACTCATGCGGAAGGCATGGGCCAGTATTACTCTGGTTCTGTTTTTCTGGCAAAGGCTGGAGCCCAGAGAAGCCTATACTAAAACGCTTCTGTGTATAGATGGGGGAGTGTCTGATTTTTTTCCCTTCCTTCCTTCCAACATTAGCAACAACCTTTCTGGAGCTATTCTTTAGAGGACTGAAGAGCCCGTGTGCTTTGGATCCCTGCATGTCTCTCCAACACATGCTCCCAGCCCCCTTTTTAGCCAAACTTTGCTGTGTCAAGGTGAGAAAGTATGCAGTGCTACTTTACTTTGCACAACAAAGGAAGAAGACTGGGGAGCTGGACCCAAGATTTATGAATGGTAACTGCTTTGTCCTTTTAGTGCCACCTGAAAATAATGTACTACAGTGGTACCTTGGTTCCCAAATGGCTTGGCTCCCGAGCAAATTGACTCCTGAACGCAGCAAACCCGGAAGTAAGTGTTCCGGTCAGGGAACATCTTTCGAAAGCTGAATATCCGACGCAGCTTCCGTGGCTTCCGCTTGAGTGCAAGAAGCTCCTGCAGCCAATCAGAAGCCGTGCCTTGGTTTTCAAACAGTTTCAGGAGTTGCACAGACTCCCGGAACGGATTAAGTTTAAGAACCAAGGTTCCACTGTAATATCAAAACACAGTTCCCTGCTCACTATGGCACTCCTCCTGATCTCATAACTCTCAGTCTATGTGATTGGGGTAGGGTGTGGGGTGGGGAAGAGATGTAGCTGTGGGGTTCGGATAAGCTGCATGGCCTGTGACCAGCATCTTTGAAGTGGTGGCTGCACTGGATGAAGTAAGACAAGTTCAGATCTTCAATCCTTCACTGGTACGATTCAAATATGCCCTCTGTCAACAATTCAGCTGTGGGTCTAAATTAGGTGCTTAATATGCTACTAATTTAAGCTCTCCCATTTATGAATCCCTGAGACTTCACATCTATCACAGGTGTTTAAAACCCAGCATGCAAATTTCCAAGAAGTCTGTACCCTCAGCAACCTGCCAAAGAGACAAAATGCCAGACAACATTTCTCCTAGTCCTTTGCATCTGTCCATTGCTGCACACTTCCACTTTCACTACTGCTTGTATACTAACTACTAGTCATAGGAGCCAACTCCCAAAATATTTGAGGAGCCAGGCCCCCACAAAGTTGATGGGCATTCCCATTCAAATGGTGTGTGTGCACTGTATCATGTGATTGATTATGCAGGGTGGGGCTTACCTGGGCCCCCACAATATTTTATTCAAGTTGGCACCCCTGCTACTACCCGGTAGTACGTTCCAGTTTTATTTTCTGCCACTGGAAATCCTCCCTTCTTCCATCAGAGGCTGGTTTAACATTTGAAGGGGAAACTCCTGAACCTCTACATTCTGTCCCGCTGGAGTGAAGGACACTATTATGAAAGTTTTTCTGTTGTGCATTTGTCCAGCAAAATGTCCTGTTTTCAGACTACACTGGGTTAGGAAACCTGTGGCCCTACAGATGTTTCTGGACTGCAGTTGCCCTCAGCTCTAGGCAGTATGGCTACTGGCCAGGAATGAAATAATAATAATAATAATAATAATAATAATAATAATTTATTATTTGTACCCCGCCCATCTGGCTGGGTTTCCCCAGCCACTCTGGGCGGCTTCCACAAGTACCCCAACAACATCTACAGGACTGCAAGTTGTCTACCCTTGGACTATACTAATAATCAAGCTGTCTTGGACTATGGGTTTTTATCTTATGTAGCACAAAGTTAAAGTCACTTAGTAGTACACAGTGGTGAAATGTTGTGGTGCAAGGAAACACACCACTGAATAACCAAACATTATTGTGCAACAGATTGCACAACAAGAATGAGCTGTTGTACAAGGGAAAACACAAGTACATTGCACACACACAAATCAGATGTTATACAACAAGCGTCCACTAACACAACTGTTGCATTGGATTCCTTTGTAGCACAACCTTTAAACTCCGCCAGCAGAAGGGCTGTGCTAGTGGACAGAGAACACTGGATACGGCTCTATGCATATATCACATTTCAGCTGTGGGAATACCATAACCATTCTGACATCACTGTGATCTAGTTAGCTAGTGAGGCCCGAGCATCCTTTCATTAATCTGAAGCACATATTCTATTGTATTTTGTGCATAATATGCCCATGCATATGTAAATAAAACAGGAAGGAAATGCCAAGGACCTGAAGCTTTTATCTTCTCCCAGATCTGTAAATTCCCTTCAGGTTGAACTGTGTGCCTGTCACCATCCAGGAACCTACCTCCCCTTGACTGGAAGACAATCAAAGTAAACCATGTTCAGATTACTGGAATGATATTGCAACACTTTTACATCAGACCCATCTCAATAAAATACCTTGGGGGCTTTATTATTTAGCATTTCTGTTTTGTGTGAGCTTTAAAATGAAAGCGGTTGTTGCTCAAGACACACAAGCTCCGTCGCTTTGCGTGGTGGAGAAAAACTTGGAGAGTTTCTTGGAGAGAGAGAAAGAACATCTAATCAAGAAGAATTGTTTGAGATCTTCAGTTTCCTGGGGTAATACAGGAACAGAAATCTGAAGAAGCATCATTTTCACCACCACCATTTCTTCCCTGAATGAACTGAATGTTTGATTTGGGAACAGGCCAATTCACAGAGCTTGATTATTTGAGACAGATTTTTTTTTTTAGGGCATAGTGCCAGGAGATTGTATTACATTGTTTCAATATCTGCAATCAGGGAACATACATTCTGCTAAGAAGCACAATTTGTAACAATACTTAACAGTGCATTCTGGAAAGACACACAGAACTGCACCCACAGCCTGCACCCACCTTTCGAACAGTCTCCAGTTCCTTCTGCTTATTCTCATTTGCCACTTGGAGCTCTTTCATCTGCCTTTCCAGTTCTTCTTGTTCAGCCTGCAATTTCTGGCGTAGCTCTTTACGTTTCTGTCGTGCTTCCTTGTGAGGTGGAGGGCTACTTAATCTCAATAGATTTACGGTTGTCTGAATAGCTGTTTTAATTGCAAAAGGAGAGAATGCACATGATCCATTTATCAACAAGAATATTGTTTCTAAGTATACAAATTCCTTTCCTGCAGCTCTTAGGTCTGATGCCATCTAGACTTTTAATGCTGCTTTAACTACCTACACCAGAGCTTCCTAAACTGTGTATCGCGACACATTAGTGTGTCAGCTGCAGTGTCTAGTTGTGTCATGTGACGACTCCCCGCGCTCCCCCTGAGGTTGGAAAGGGGTTAGTTTAACCTCCGGTTTGCTAGTAAAACTGAATTACTGTGTCGAGAAATGATGCATGTCTTAAAAGTGTGTCACCAACATGAAAAGTTTGGAAAGCTCTGCCCTACACTGTGGGTCACCAAACCAAGAATATCAGTATTTATATTCATTCCTGTTCTCCACAGAGTGGTGTGGGAGCCTGAAGTATATTTTGTCACCAAACCCAACCACTGTGTAGGTAGTCAGATTGCGGTGATGCCAGTGAGATGTGGCGGTAAAGGCTCAATCATTACAGAACACAAAACAAATAAAGTGGTACCTCAGGTTACGTACTTAATTCATTCCGGAGGTCTGTTCTTAACCTGAAACTGTTCTTAACCTGAAGCACCACTTTAGCTAATGGGGCCTCCTGCTGCCACCGCGCCGCTGCTGCACGATTTCTGTTCTCATCCTGAAGCAAAGTTCTTAACCCGAGGTACTATTTCTGGGTTAGCGGAGTCTGTAACCTGAAGCGTATGTAATCTGAAGCGTATGTAACCCAAGGTACCACTGTAGTAAGGCAAGGAAGAGCCGGGGGGGGGATATTTCACAGGCCCCAGGATTGCAGCCGAATGGAACCTAGCTATCTTTAATTCCATGAAACTCTCATGAAATGCAGTGGGACTTACGCCTAAGTTAACTGGAGGAATTTAATGTCCTGTTAAGTTTATCATTCCATCAGGGAAAGCAATTCAACTTCTCAGATGGAGTGGTCTCACTTCTCTCACCCCCCCCCGCCCCATTCTGGAGATTCTCCTAACTCCACCAAAGCCATTGGGTTCATGAGGAGGAAAACCCTTTTGTGCAAGTGGAAGTCCTTGCAAAGGAATAGGATAGGAAGTCTGAAATGCAGCAGAGCCAACCTGTGAGAGAAGATAATTCTGGGGTAGAAAGATGGGACTAGTGGTCAGGCTTAGGAGAAGGAAGATTCTTCTGCAGTTGCACTCACAGTTTCTAGGTTATGTTAGACATATGTATAGGAGGACTAAGGAAGTTATAGTACAGTACAGTACCAGTTAACAAAAACAAGGGGTGAGCTAATGCTTTTGTCATATATGGCTTTTGTATCATTAAAAAGTTTTAATTCAGGAGCACCACATGGGTGTAAGACTTTGCATAACAGATAAACTTATATTTAGCAATGAGTACTCCATTATAAGTCAAGTTGATCTCTGGCTGAGCTTAAGGCTTGAACACAGGTCTCTCAAGTCCAAACCTGCTATGCACCTACCCCTTTCCAACTCTCCCTATACAGACACATTCTAAGAAACAGGTCTGGGAGGTTTGCAGCTTGTTACTTTAAGGCTTGTTTTCTTATAAACTAACATTAAAAATAGTAAATATAGACACAGCTGTAGTGGTCCTCCAATACTGCATCATTCTCCATTTTAGTGCCTAAAGCCCATAATTTTCTAAATTGGGACTCTAAAAACATAGCCTGTATTTTCTGTACTACTGAAAGACCAGCACACTCTGCTGCTAAGCAAGCAGCCCAGTTATCAACTGATATAATTATAGCTGTGACAGCTTCAATACCACAAAAGTCAAATGCTAGTTTATTTCTGTACTTTGTTGCTTCTTTTGGGTGGGGGCGGTTAGTGAGAGACGCAAAGTGTGTAGACAAGGGGAAATTACAAAAGTACCATTTTCAGAACTGAGACATTGTTCACTACTATTCAGATCGCTGCAATTATTAGTGCACGGTACTTTTTAGTATCTATCATATTAAAGTAAGTTCTTGCTAAATGACAGAGATTTAAAAGGCACCATTTACAGTGACTTCTGCAAAAAAGCCCAACCCAGCTTCATACTGAATAAATGAAATTCTGTAATGTGTAGTGATGACTCATTTTTTTTATTGCAACAGTGTTGAACTTATTGATAATAGCTGTTCTTATCAGGAGAGCGGAAGCATTTATAGCTGCTAATCTTACTGAGTTCACAATTCAGTATTATTTCTGAAACAAGATAATCAAAGACCCATACAAGTTTCCAGACTGACACTGAAAAAAATCTGTCAGGTTGTCATGTCTGTAAGAAGACCTGCAGCATGTGAGGCTTCATGCGTGGTGTGTGAAACACATCATGGGTTAATAATGGATTGGTGTATTCTCTGGTTCTAATCCAAAGTGAAGAAGGAAGGGATGCTTCTAGTTTGCCAGTCTAAATGATAATGCCACTCATTTTCATTTCATAATGCCAATATAATTATATATTTCATTATATATTTTTAGGTGCCAGGAAAACATTCCTCTTCAACCAGGCCTTTGGCTGATTAATATTCCTTCAGCTGTTCTTTTTCTTTAATATTTTATTTATCATTTTTGATTTTACAACAAATAAAGTTACAAATTTTAAAACATACAAATTAAGTTGACTTCTACCTCCTCTCCTTCTATGGTTCCTTTCCTTTTCTCCATTCTTCTACATATCCAAATTTTCCTTATTTCCTTACTTTTATTTCAAAATTTCCTTACAATTATACTTTAACAGCCTTTTGAATATGTCTGTGGGGAGGTGGGTTATTGTTGTTTTTGTGTTAATTATTTATTTGTATTTTTATCTTGTTATTTTATTCTTTGAACCGCCCTGAGATCTTGTGATGGAGGGCAGTATATAAATAAAATAAACACATAAAAAACATTAAACAAAACTAGATTGCTATGTAGTGTACATGCAGACCTGGCAAAAAAATATTAAGATTATTTCTGCTGTTCCTGATTTTTAAAAAGTATTATTTTTCCAAGTATACTCACATACTGTACCTAAATTCATTACACAGTCCAAACATATTACATATTTCACAGCTTTCCCCAGCTAATCTTAAACTCCCAAAGGTGTGTGTAATAACATAGAAATGTCATTCTCACCTTGAATCCATTCCTGCCTCTTCTTCTTATCAGAGGCACTAATCTCAAAACATTTCTCTAAGCTTTTTATAAGAAAGAGACATTTCTTTCCATCTTTGTCAGGCAAAGCCTAATTATAGAAAAACAATAATTTCCTTTTAAATGACAATACAATAACAACACAATATATCATTGCATACACAAAAATTTGCAAATATGTATCTTCTAGTAAACGTTAGCTCAGAAGAACCAAACAGAGAAAAATGCACACCCAAGAACCAGATACTGTATATATATATATATATGCAGGTTTTGGTGTCCTCGGGTGTCTTCCCGTGTAAAAGTTGGGGTGTCTAGGCGACGTTTCGACGAGGTCTCACTCGTCATCTTCAGGCTGGTGCTTTCGGCTTCTTGTTACTGGAACAGAGCAGGATCTCAGTGTTTGAGTTCCTATAAATACTGTTGAGGGGGTGTGGTGTATAGCCTCCAATGTTCTGGGCAGAGAGGAAGTTCCCAGGCTAGTGTGCCTTTTCTTCTTTTGTTCCTTAATTACTTGAGGGATATCTTGAGTGATTTCTTGAGTGATAATCTGAGTACCACTTAGGTGGGTCATTAGGTGTGGATTAGTTGCTAAAGCCTTCGTGTCTTGACCTCTTGAACTTTGTGAAGAGTTTTTCTGGGAAGATGGTTGTACTGCACTTAGTTGTGCTCTGGCTTGGCTTCGTGTATAGGGGCGAGCTGTGGTTTTGTGCCCTGTGCCAGCCAGATCTGTGTAGGGATTGCAGGGGGGTGCAGCATCCGGAGGTGCCACCATGGGAACTCAAACACTGAGATCCTGCTCTGTTCCAGTAACAAGAAGCCGAAAGCACCAGCCTGAAGATGACGAGTGAGACCTCGTCGAAACGTCGCCTAGACACCCCAACTTTTACACGGGAAGACACCCGAGGACACCAAAACCTGCATATATATATATATATATATATATATTCATAATAATAAAATATATGGACACAATTCCCTGCTTGTGTATAAATAAGCATGAATAAATAACATTGTTGTTGTTGTTTGGTCGTTTAGTCGTGTCCGACTCTTCATGACCCCATGGACCAGAGCATGCCAGGCACTCCTGTCTTCATAAATAAATAAATAACATAGTTTTGTCTAAAAACAGGCTGCTAGTAAAAATTTGGGGAAATTTTTTTCTCCTGTTTTCTGTAATGGAACATGGAATAATAACATGGTAATCTATTGACAAAGTTTGAGAATAGTAGGCTATTGCCCTGTACCTTTGAGCATCTTCACACTATAGCTATAACTTCTCAGTGACCAAGGCTGGGCACAAGCGCAAGCATGACCACTAAGCAGAATATTTCTAGAAAAACAGTTAATTTTTTCTGTTCTGGGCAGCCCCACACTGACATACTGAAGTCTGCCATGGAGGCTGCAATAGCCCCACAGTCACTGAACTAAGTGTACGGCAGGGGACCAAAAGAAAGACTGCATGCGTTGGGTGCCCTTGGTAAGACGCATCCAACCCCCAAAGTAGCCTTTGTAGGGACATGTGCTAGCACAACAAACACTACTTGCTCATCTCATAGATAATCAACACCTATGATTCACTACAACCAAAGTGATTAACTTTGCTAATGACAATAACGAAACTGGAGCAACGTAACAGGGACACCTGCTCCTGATATTCTCTTTCCTATGTCAGTAGGATTACAGGAAGTTTCTTTGCCCAGCAATGGGTTTACAACCATTTCATGATTAATATTCGTAGCTATTAATGCATTTTACACTTATGCTAAACGGCTGAGCACGTTAATATCATTACGTAGTTCTTGCTGGTTTCATACGAACTCGTTCCTAAAGCCTATCACCCTAACCCAACATTTCCCAGAAGATCTGCAATACACATAAAAGTCTACCTCCCCCCATTGCAATTAATAGAGCAGCCCACTCCAGCAAGAGTTCTGTGTCCTCTTTATGTGTTTCTCTATATTGGGATGTAACCATACAGATGGTGACTATTCTGTTAAATATTCCACTATGCTGATAGTTATTAAAAGAAAAAACTAAAGTATTTATTTATTTAAATATATATACCGCAATTTTATAAAAGAGTATCAAATGAGTTTACATACAAAAAAATGCATAAAACCATACAGTAAAAACCATGTGAAAGAAGTTAAAAGCAGACAGCAATTAGCCATTGGGAAAAGATGTATTCTCAATTGCCTGCATAGAAAAGTTGAAATTATATTGCCATCTATCCTCTGTGGGGGGAAGTGGGCAGGCATTCCAGAGTGTACTTTTACATTGCATGCATTTTTTTTACCTCTACAGTACAGTTGCCATCCAGTATAATCTCTCCTCTTTTGTCTTTTAGGTCTTCACTAACATAGTACGATATAATACTGGGTTTTAAAACAAACCAACGTTCTGTCCAGTTTTTCCTTTTGTGGCCCTTCTTCCACATATATCCCTGTAAAATAGAAATGGCTCATTTAAATTATTTTAGCATTAGAATTTCCGGCTTAATAGTTCTGAAGCGAAATCCAAATGTAATTAATACATTTTTTTATTTCAACAGACGTGGATCAGGTCCTTTAAAATATTTTTTTCCTATTAGTTCAAAGATCAATTTATGAACCCATTTTATGAAAAAGCATCAAATTAATTTCAGTTTTAAACCTGTCTTGGTTAGGAAGAAAATATTTCAACTATGCCTGCTGAAACTTAAAAATTGCCAAGAACAATAGCAACCTCCCTGCATAACTGAAGGAACATTGCTTAGTACCAAAACCAATAGGAATCAAATTGATTTAAAAAATGGAAGTGTGTACAGTTTTCATACAAGCTTCCATTCAATGACCCATCCAGGTCATTACTTCACTACATCAGTCTCTGAAAAGACTATACATATGTACAGCTACATTTCCTTCAGCTATAATATACACATACCATTTACAATTTATAGAGCAAATGTCAACAGTATTGCCACCACTATCCAGGCAATCTCCCCCCAAAAAGCTCTACAACTTTGGCCGATGGCGGGTGTTGGTGCAGTTTAAAATATTGATTTATTAATTTGGGGTTCAAAAAAATAGAAGTCATCTTATACATGGGGGCTTCTTACACAGAAAAATACAGTAGTTAGAAAACATTAAATTATCTCACACAACACACTAGCAGGAAACTGATACAATCTGTACAATAATACCCTCCACACTTTTTCAGCAACTCCATGCCAAATGATTAATTCAGATATTTTTTGAAGAGGGTATTGATATAGGTAACGTGGAAATCAAGAACTGCAAAAGTGGGAATATTTCCTGGCTTCCAAACCTAGTTTGAAATAAGCCATAGATGTGAAAGAGTAAACTATGGTTTGTGCATGACCTGCAAACCAAGACCAAACTGTGCTGTCTGATCATAATCTGTATTGCAAGTGCAAACCATGGTTTGTTTGTTTGTTCAGACGAAGTGTGAGCATCCAAGACTCCTACTGCTTCTTCGGGAAATGGCAAACCACAACAAAGCCATCAGTGGCTACTAGCCAAAATTTGTTTATTTAATTTGCAATATTTACAGACTGCTTTTCTACACAAATGGTCTCAATCAATCAATCAATCAATCAATAACACAATGTATCAGTCACATAATATGGTATTTAAAACAATAAAAATGGGCCTACTACTGTGATGGCATTTTAAGTAATGGCTATATTCTAACTCTACTGTTAGAGGCTGTATGCCTCTAATACAAGTTGCTGGGAACTGCAAGATAGGCGATCCCCCTTGCATTCAGGTTCTGCTTGTGGGCTTCCCTTGGGCATCTTGTGAGAACAGGAAGCTGGATTAAGATGAGCCTTGCAAATTTAGGAGGGCCCTTCTTAAGTTTGTATGGTTTGACACCACATCTGAGCCACCACAGTATTTCACCTTGCATCATGCAAACATCACACTTCACACAAACCGTATTGTCTCCCACAGATGTGCACAATCTAGCATGGGCTCAGTTCAACATGGATGTATGTGAATGCACTCAGTAAGTATATAAAAGCACATGTGGTCAAGGCCCACAAGACTTCATCAGCAATCCAAAGGTACAGTACTTACTTAACTGCTCCACATCTCATTTCCAAGCTTACAACCGTGACAAAGACTCAGCAGAGGAGAATATATTTTCTCCTCCTTTACTTACAGGACATTCATTTTAGTTCTATATATTTATTTTGCCCTTACCACATTTGGGTCCTAACTATGAATACAGTTGTCAAAATAGCTCTACTGTACATTTAGAAAGCAGGGACACCTACCTGTTGGATTTATCCACTTTGGGTAAAGCTATTCAAAATGGTAGCACACAGAAAGAGAGAGAAATGCAAGTTTAAAGAACAGAGCAATTCCATTATTTATGCAATCATATAATCTGCTGACTTTATAGACTACATTGACAAGATATATTATGTAAGGGCAGCGAGTCATATCTATGATTGGCAAGTGCTAGAGGGGACTCTAGAATCATACAAACCCAAGAGAAAGGACTTCCTGGTTTATTTTGAAGAGGTTTGTGGGGAGATCTTGCTTGGAACATGTGCTACTCTAGGTTTTTCCCCTGTAGATTCAGGTGATGAAAGAATGACTGCTTAGCTTATTTTGAATGGACTTCCTGGTTTGTTTTTAAACTTACTCCACCCCACCCTGGTCTACCTTAGCAGAGATTGTTTCCCAGAGAAAACAACAGAGAAAATCCAGGATTTTAATGTAGCTGTGACAGGGCAGTAGCATATCAACCAAACAGCCTTTCAAAGTAGCCCAGGGTTGCTGTACAATTATACTGATGGGGAAGATGGGTTGCATAGAAAGAGGGGGGGGGAGGAGAGGGAGAATGACAACCCATCAGTATAGTCCAATGTTGTTATCTGGTCCCTTTGACTTTTTTAAATGAGGGAAATGCAGCTGAAGCCAACAATCCTAGAAGTTGTCCATGCTGGCATAAAGACTTAAATAGGTACATTCACATGGAAGGCTCAAATCCTTTTTGCTCAAAACAAGAGAAAAAGTTGGCTGTTTGACCTGTGCCAAGCATGGACATCTGAACCTAGGTTCCTGTAAATCTTAAAAACACTTGACTCACACACTTGCTTTCACTAAACTTAACACCCCAGTGGTGTTTTGTTCAAGCCAGCTCCCCCCACCCCGACTCTCCTGCACCTGCACCTCTGAGAAGGTTCTTGCTTCCTCTTTATCTCCCCACATGGCTGCATGTTTCAAGTCATATTCAAACTTGAGGCACCACAGCTAAGCAGCAGAAGGCTTTAAAAAGTACTACACTTTTCTTTAGAATTCATGTTCAAGACGACAAGCCTGAAGAAATTCTGCAACATTCTCTGTAGTTCTTAGCATCCCAAATATTAAGATATGTTGAATATATTACACAAAGATGAAAACATGGTAATCACACATGTTAACTATTAGCAAGTCTCCCATCACCCAAATCACTGGATTGTGATATAAGGGATAATATAAGCACCTAAATGAGTTCTATTCTTATTCTCAAGCTCTGTTTAGAAACACTGTGTTACAATGCATGGGTATGAGAAATACCATGGTGCATTCTCTGATTACACCAAAGGAAAACAGAAATTCATACTTGGCAGATAATCCAAGATACTGAAAATCTTAACTTCCATTAAAACAAAAAGTAGTAGTAGTAGTAAGCTTCTGTATCTCAAAGCCACAAAAATGTGATTTGACCTTCTGATTAATTCTCAGAAGCTGTAAGAGAGACAGTGGAGGATTTTCACTGATTTAGTCCCTTTGATGACCAGCAGAAGCAGAATAAAGTTATGCAAAATTGTTGTTGTTTAGTCATTTAGTCGCGTCCGACTCTTCGTGACCCCATGGACCAGAGCACGCCAGGCACTCCTGTCTTCCACTGTCTCCCACAGTTTGGTCAAACTCATTTTAGTAGCTTCGAGAACACTGTCCAGCCATCTCATCCTCTGTCGTCCCCTTATCCTTGTGCCCTCAATCTTTCCCAACATCAGGGTCTTTTCCAGGGAGTCTTCTCTTCTCATGAGGTGGCCAAAGTACTGGAGCCTCAGCTTCAGGATCTGTCCTTCTAGTGAGCACTCAGGGCTGATTTCCTTAAGAATGGATAGGTTTGATCTTCTTGCAGTCCATGGGACTCTCAAGAGTCTCCTCCAGCACCATAATTCAAAAGCATCAATTCTTTGGCGATCAGCCTTCTTTATGGTCCAGCTCTCACTTCCATACATCACTACTGGGAAAACCATAGCTTTAACTATATGAACCATGCAAAATAGAAACATCTAAATTATTTTTATACAGGTTGCAGAATCTGTCTTATCATAATGTAAAATTTGACAACCTTGGTGCAAAATTTTGTGATTTAGTCAAAAATTCACATATTTATCTGTATAAATTATGTATACCAACATGGTCAGCACTTGCATGAAGATCTCACCTGTTTCAATACATCTAATATAAGTTCGTTGAAGACTTCATGAATTGCCATAGATACCGTTTGCCTATCCATCCCTTTGCTAAATCGACCACTTCCAATCAGTTCAATCAATTCCCAAGCAGAAAGACCTTCCCAGCTGGTATCGAGGCTGATCTTGTAATGTTCAAACTGTTCTTGATGCCAGCCTAATCCCATGACTTCTGTCAGCTTCTTAAGCAAGTATTCAATCTGTACAAAAAAAGACAACACAGATTCTGAACAAACGAAAACAAAAAAGATCAGTGACTATTCCTACACTGTTGCTGTCAGCTTTTTCAACTCAGCACAGTGTATCCATATCACCAAAAGGTTCCTGCTCCACATTTCAGAGTGTGCAAAAATGAAGGAGATGAATGCTATACACTTTTGGAACAAAAGAGCATGAAAGCAATCCTAAGGTGCAGCTGTTGTCCAAGGTAACAAACTGCTGTATTCCTGAACACACCTAAAGAGAGTTGCAAATATGGAACATTATAGAAAATGCTGGTCTCTTTCTTTTTAGAAAACCTGTTGTTGTGATCCACAGCCCATCAGAAAAAGCCAGAAGAGTTTGGGGAAGGAAGTGTGTGTGTGTGTGTGTGTGTGTGTGTGTGTGTGTACTATTATGTTCTAATTTTACTGCCAAGACAATGTTGCTCATAAAGATTATTTTTACAACTACTTCAATGAAACAGCAAAGGCAGAAAAATGGCCAGTTTAGGCATAGCTGGACAAAGAACATTCGGATACTTGAAATAACCATTTCCTACCTCTTCTGGTACAATGACTAGTGGATATTTGTCCTCAGATAGGAAATTGAAGATGACCCACACTTTAAAAGCATCATCATCAGAAAGGAGCAAGGTATTTCTTGCAAGGTTTTTTCTGGCACACAGCGTCCAGCACATTTTATTGAATTCGATTTTGTCAAAGTTTCCTTGAACCTAGTAGAAGCAAAGCAGTGTTAATGATTTAAAGATACCCAGTGAGGAATAACAGCAGCAAGATGCCCTAACACCTGCAGAAAGAGAAAAAGTTCACAAAAGAGACCTAAAGCTAAAACAAAACATTGATTTGTGGCCTCCTAATGCCCATAGCAGTCGCACCACCACAGAGAATGCTCTGCCCAAAGCAATATATATCACATCTCCTCTACTTGCTCAGGACAAGTAACAGTTGTGCAGGGTAAGCAGTGCTGGCTTTACATACAAGCTGAGCAGACTGCAGCCCAGGGCCTCATAATCTAGGGGCAACTCGGTGTCTTGCCAATTTGTGGTTTTTTTTAACAGGCAGCTTTTACTATCTAAGCCTAGTTGCTTTGTAACATTAAACACGTGACATATGAGTTCTGACTGTTCTGACTTTGTGTATAGTGTAATGTTATAGCTATGATTCCCCTATGAATGTTCTGTGTGAATGTCTTCATTAATTCCATATTTTTAAATATGGTTATAAATTTATAAACAATCTTTTATTAATGCTAAAATTTCAGCCCATGTTCTACTTTCATTGAGTAGATAAAGAAGAGAACAACGTTTTGTTGCTCATGATCAGAGGCTATTAAGTTTGGACTTCCCAAGATCTTCTAGCCCATAGGACTAGCTTTAATTGGGACCTATGGGGAACACTTGAGTGACAGACTTTGCAGTGGTCTCTCTATTCCCCTTTTATTCTGCTCCTTGTCCTTAATAAGCTACAGGTTGGAGAATCCAAACTTGTGCACATAGTGAGCTCATTACCAGCCTGTCTCAAAACAGGACAGGGTGAGGCTGAGCCAGCTGTACAAACTGGGCAGAGAATGGCTATGCTAGTTCTGGCTACAGGAAAATATCTCTTAAAACATGGGTTTTAAGGGCAACTGTGCAAAACTGTTGACATGGCAGCGGCATGGAAATCACGGTTGTTGCTACCCTTATGCTCCCCAACCCAGCCTGAATTGCCAAGCGGAATAGCCTGCAGTTCAGTCTTCAAAGAGTAGATAGCTAAAACCATGAGCCTTCGGGACATGACATCTTTTGATTTAGCACAGCTTATTGTTAATTAGGGGTTTCAGCTATTCAAAATCCTTACTCTAGTAAAAGGAATGTCTGCTGCTCTTTGCTTCTTTTTGCCTGGGCATTTGTCCACGCTCCCTTGGTTCAACAATGTAGACTTTGTTAAAGGGCAACTCAGTCTCCACAATGAGCTAGAGAAATAATTCATTTGCAATCAGGACCACAAGAGGAAGTGTTCTGGGAGCTTGACCGGTGTGGTCAATAAGATTTACACGGGATATGTACAGCAGAATAACAGATTTCCTGTGGAGCCAAGAGCTCATTGTTTTTTCTTGCACAGATAGCCATTACTTCTCACAGGAAAGTGATATCTGGAGTAATCTATGAATGGGCACCAGTTGGGGGGGGGGGACAACAGAACAATATACTGAATACAGCCAGCCAGCCTGCTAAAACGTTACTTGGCCCTTTTTATACAAAATGCCAGTGTTCATCGCCTGAGAATGCTACCCATATCTACCAAACATGTCAAAACCATAAAGATGCAATGCCCAAAGGTGATTAATCCTAAAACCACTGGAGTGACAATTAAACAACAACAACAAAATGTTTTCAAATAAGTACAACTTGTGTTCAGAAACAGGCTCTATGCCAATTACCAGGAAGAGGTGAAGTTAAGTGGCAGAATGAAAGCCTTGCATCTCAAAGGTCCAAGGTTCATTCTTAGCATCTCTGGTTATAAGGGACTACGGAAGCAGGGCTGGTAAAAACTTTTGTCCAAGATCAAACAGAGGTGGGGAGTTGACTATCGTTCTATGACACACAGAAGTTTAAAGGTTCTGTCTCTGATATCAAATGGTGGTGAGTGTGTGCCTTTAAGGATTTTTGGCTGCAAGGTTGGGAAAGACACCTGCCCGTCACAGTAAATACTGGACTAAACAAGCCCATCTCCTGATCCTGTAAATCACCAGCTCTCTTGGGTGGAGGGGGGTGGGTGTAATTCAGCATTCTGCATGATGCCCACTTGAGAGCTGCATGGCTGACAGTGTGGGAGGGGGAAGGAAGAGGAAGGAAACAATATTACAGTTTCCTCTGTATCTTGATAGCTAAACAAGAAGCTGATGTCAATCAAGACACTGAGCAAGTCATCACTGCCTTTCAGAAAATCCAGAAATCAGTGAAACAGAACCATTAAAATGAAATGAAACAGACTTCTAAAAGTTCTCACTGCAGTCAAACGAAACTGCATATACCAACCAGAAAGTTGGCCCTCCTTGGGTTTCCTCCACTCAAGAACATTGCCTTTAGTTCAGTGTCATTAAATTGTACCTAATTTATTTGCAGGTCTGTCTCTATTCTCCAGACTTTCCAACACTAATTTTTTGAGGGGGGGGGGACAGGTTTTGTAGAAGGTTTCAAAAAAATCTTTTCACTCTCATTTAAAAAGAAAAAGTCAAATCAATATTGGTAAGCTACAACACCAGACATGTTCATGATTACAAGATGCTTATAGCATGTCTGGGACTCTGTTTTAGCCTATCAATAAATTTACCTGTACAGCAGTTGGATTTAAGAGTTGCTTCACACACGGCAGAAATTAGCAGATGTGTACCTGGATTCCACATCTAACACACACACTCTTTTCACATTTTATGTTACTTTTTCTTTTTTGAATTGTATTCAAGAATCTGGAGAAGAGCTGTGTCTTTCGTTGCACGTACATTCTTTTTACTGATATGTAGCAATGATTATTTGAAATTGGGGAGAGTGAAGAAATTCAGGACAGTATATATACACAGAACTGGAGGCACATACCTTTTCCAAGATGAATCTGTTTAAATAAGGCATATAACCCTGATTTGAAACAGGGCCTTCATCATCATCCCTAAAGTGCTCTTCTAAGGCTACTGGGTCATGTGGGACATTCAGCAATGTACACAAGTTGTGAGAAAGGACCTAAAAAAAAAAAAACCCAAGTGAGAAAATCAATGAGAATGCAACAATATACAGCAAATCCATACACATCAGTCAATTTGATGATAGAATATGTTTTCAGTTGCAGAACTGGTAGTATTAAATACATCATCTTCCATCTACAATGCTAAAAAACTAAGGAAGCAGCCATGTTCTAACTCAAGAAAAGAAAAAATAGAAAGCCAAGTTTGGGTTCTCCACCCTCTTATTCCTGGGTTATTGGCAACATACTTAACCCCCCCCCCCCGCAAAAAAAAAAAAACACCACTCAGCTCATTCTTAATAGGATCACACACAAATATACTTGACCTCTCTGAGATTAAATAAAAGAAAATGCAGAGCATGCTGATTTAGAAGCAGGTGGGATTGTATTTGTTTGCATCCTTCAAACTCACAAAATCCCCAGTAGTCCACTTCACAATATCACAGGTTATACAGACCTGCTGTACTACTGATTAGTTGGCAATGTACTTCCTTATATTTTTTATGGATGCATTTCCTCCTCTAAGCTGAAACTTCCAGGTGATTATTAGTTTCAGAGCAGTGGCAGACCTTGGGGTTTCAAATTCCAGCAACGTTGGCACTCCCTGTCCCTCACCTTCCATTCTACATCAGTTGTGGTGCCCCCCCCCCGGCACTACCAAGGCTGCATGCCCAGTGTGCCCAAACCAGTCACGCTCCCCTAAATCCTCCTCTGTTCAGAGAGGTGTTGTTTCCAAGTTCTGCTCTCCCCACCCCACTTTGGCCTAATTCTCACAAAGCAGCAGAGATATGGTAATGAGCCTGTGTCTCAAACGAAGCACTTCAGACTGCAGCTGAAGGGTCACATGCTGGAATGCTTCCTCATGAAAAAGGTATTAAACACTGAAATCGACCACATCTGAGGGACGGCTCCACCATAACCCTTCACCCAACTCTCTGTATGAATTTCTTTTTTAAAAAAAAATATGAAACTTTCAGTCATGCAAGTCCACACCTGCTGTCTGGTGACTGTCATGTGAATTTCCACATCTGCTGTGTGCAAGGTCAGACACCTGATGGGACTATGAATAAGGTGGTAAGCATGCTACTTCAGACCACAGGCGGAGTTTGCAATAAATTAGCATAGCAAGAAGAAAGATACTCTAAACCAGGGTCGGCAAATTTCAGCAGGGGGCCGGTCCACTGTCCCTCAGACCTTGTGGGGGGCCGGGTGGCGGCAGGACGATGAGCAGTGCGCAAAAGGGCTGCAGAGAGGGACTGCTTTAAATGGCAGCTGCTTGAGAGGGGCGCTCAGCCAACCACAGCTCCTGTGTCTTACGAGAGGCAAGGGCTGGCGGCGGTGGCGGCGGAGATGATGAGCGGCACACAAAAGGGCTCCAGAGAGGGACTGCTTTAAATGGCAGCTGCTCGAGTGATTACGCTGCTGCTGCTAGCACCAATCAAAGGCCAGACCCCTTCCTCCACAGGGCAGGGACAAGCCAGGAGGCAGGAGGGAGGAGGCACTGCCGCAGTGGGTGTGGGGGGGGGGAATTGCACAGCCCAAACAATCAGAATCAGATCCACACCGATCCACGCGGTGATTGCCGGACTGTCCACAGGCCGGATCCAGAAGGCAATTGGGCTGGATCCGGCCCCCAGGCCTTAGTTTGCCGACCCATGCTCTAAACCTCTGTCTGCAGGGTATGGTCTGAAAGCATACAAGGCCATTAACCTGCTGAAGGTAAGCAAGTCTGGTCAGTACCTTGGATGACTGAGTGCTACCGCCTTGGGTTCCATGACAGAAGAAAGTTGGGATATAAATGGGGAGGGGATACCAATATAATTAACTTAGCTGAGCTGTAATCTGCTGCTTAAAAAGTGGCTTTTGGAGCAAGATGCTAATAACATAAATAAGAAACTAGTAAGCCACTTGTTTGTTTGTTTGTTTGTTTTTGTTTGTTTGTTTGTTTAAAAAACAAACTAAATAATTGCAGCAAGGGCTTTTGTCAGATGCTGGAATAATACATTGGAATCTTGGTATCAAAAGGGTCTGGCAAGGAGGACTTCTGGAAAAATTTGCAAGCAAAATGAAAATATTAAGGGGACCAAGGTAAACAAGATACTTCTGTTAGAACCGGGTGGGACTTTATTGACTATACCAATAGAAGAGATACAGGAAGAGAACCTTTGTGGACTTCGCAGTGAAGCAGATATTGTTCTTCCTTCTTGTAATATAATACAAATGTAACAGACACATGACATAAATTTATTTGCATAGGTGTATTTCCTGTTTATGTATGCATTTATATCAAACTGTTTTTAAATAAAAAGCTTAATTGGGATATTAGGAAGTTCAGCCTCTCTCAAAAGGGAAGAATTTTTTTGCCAATAATTATTTTTCTAGGGTTCACATGGTTGCTAAGTAACTTTCCACATAAAAAGCTCTTATACTTAAATTTCACAATCTGCCTTAATGGCTCAACCTTCATGTTAAAAACTTAGGCCATCAGCCAAGATGTTCCAAATTCCAAACATTATCTATTAACTACTGAATAGGTTCCCAGTGTGCACCTCAGCCTCCATGCCCAACTAACCTGCTAACTTTTTCTGAGGTTTCTTTCGTCCTTACCTACAACAGCAAGGGCAGCAAGCTTAGCATGGCAGTGTACAAATCTGAGAAGCACTCTGAGATACCACCAAACAAGGTGCAACCACAGAGCTCATACAAGTCCTTTTTTCATCCTCTTTCTCCTCACATATACTCATGACAGTGGCCAGATTACTGCCACCATAGTAGATTTACTTTTGGAGATGGAGTTTTTAAAAGTAGTAATGTGAATCAGCTTCAGAATCCAGCAGTGCAAATCCTCATTAACCAGACCACATATATAGCCAGACTTCTTGGGTGACATTATATGCATAAGGCTGTGTTTTAGAAAAGCAGCCCTGTTTAGGGAAGCTTTTAATGTTTAATAGGTTATTGTATTTTAATGTTCTGTTGGAAGCCGCCCAGAGTGGCTGGGAAGGCCCAGCCAGATGGGTGGGGTATAAATAATAAATTATTATTATTATTATTATTATTATTATTATTATTATTATTATTATTATTGTTTTCTTTCAATTCATGGAGAGGAATTTCAGCTTGCCAGACAGAGTTATTCCCCCCTCTCCTCTCTCCACACAATGTTCTGGGGGTGCTCCCAACCCACCCCAGAACCAATTTGGGGGAGCACATGAGGAGAGGGGGGAAACCCATTGCACAAGCAGAAGTCCTTGTGCAGACCTTCCACTGATAGGACTCCTTAGTTCAATCCTGCCCATTACATTTTATTTCTAGGTGTTTCATTCATTCCAAGTGACATATAAAGTACAATAATACCAAGTTCCACAATGCCATGGAGCACTGCAAGATGTGTTATTTCCTTAATAAGCTTCTTGCCAAATGTAAACAACTTTCTACTAGTGGAACTTCCTCCTTCCTTGTGTCTCACTGAGTCTAATAATTATTCTCTTTGAATGAACTGCATGATTCTTGTCAGTGTCAGGATTCAACCTTAAAATTAGAGAAACATTAATAAGGTGTAATAGCGCTGGGATGAAAAACCGACAGGGTACCCATGAAGACTATAGTAAGCAATCTATAATTCCATCCAGAAGAGAGATGCTGTGATTTTACTATGCTGATGTCTGAAAATGCAAAAACAGTAATTGAACAAAACTTATAAGAGCATTCTAGAAGGACAATTAAATAAATATATTTTAATTGTAGGCTCCACCAACCCTGTGACTTCATCATAAAGCAGTGCAAGAGCTGGTGCGATGCAGACAACCTTATCTGAGAAGCATCTTAATTCTCCAACTCCTTGCTTAAATGGCAGGATTTTTTCCTCAAGGACTGTCAACATGAAAAGCAGGAGAAAATTTACACTATAGCTTCACACAGACATTGGATATACCAGTACCCCATTGTACTAGCTAGAGGCTATTCAGAGTTGGTCTGAATGTTACAAGTATGAGGAAAGAACAGAAAACACAAATACTTTCTGTTCCCTACACTTCTCCATAATGCCCAAAATACAACACATCATGTCTCCCCTTGCACTACGGTGAGCATACATCTGATGCAGTGACAGCTTGCATCTCTCACTGTTTAGGCGGTGGGGTGGGTGGGTGGGTGGCAAGATATAAACATTCTGTTTGGGACATTACAGAGAAGTACAAGGAACAAGAAGAGCAAGGTGTTTGCACTTCTCTTGGTCAGTCTATCTACACCACAATGTTCAAAGCCACTTCCAAATTCCAAGGCAACAATTTCAGCATATGCAATCTAAGTACATGAGTTTTTGACCAGGTTGAGGATCTGCAACTCCAGACATTACGCAAAATGTTCCAAATGTTTTTTTCAATGCAAAATATTTCAAATGTTGGCACTATTCTGCCCAAGAACAGTTGCACAGAACAGGACCAAACACCACACAAGTAAATCAAAATACCACACACAGGAAGAGCTGGTGGGGTTCTGTTTTCCCTTACAAATGCAGATAAGAGTTCAGAAATAATCATGTTTGCGCTCACAGCTCCGCAGCATACCAAGTCCCCTCAGTTTCATTGCACAGCTAGAAAGACTGCTCTGAGCTATTGACAGGGTTCAGTTCTGGCCATCAGCAGCACAGACTACAGCTGGCCCAGTAATCAGCACAATGACCTACTGTCTGAAGCATCCCACAGGTGTAGAGCCCTATTCAAAACATTTTTCAGAGCTGGCTTAACCAGAGGAATTTAGGGCCAAAAGTGTCTGATGGAGTGTGCCCAAATTCATAGATCAAAGTTCCACAAACTGTGTGAGAGTTCTGTGGAGAACACTCCTCGGAGTATGTGGCAAGAAAAAGAACAGACCCTCTTCACTACTTCTCCTCTTTGTACTTGAATAAGAGAGCAGTATAGAATCTCTGCCTCCCCAATATTGCCAGGCTCCACACAGAGCTGGAATGAAGCCAGTTCTTTTATTTGGGTGCCTGAATGTTGTGGGCTACTGGGGTAGAAAGAAAAGTGTTAGCCACAAGAAGAAGTGGGAGGCAGCAGTATTTGAGGCATTCTTATGGTGCAAAGGATGAAATCAAGTTTGTTAGCTATGAAACACAAAAATGGAAGAACTGTGATAGCAAAACAGTACATATTAATCAGCTCCATTACAATTGTGCCTGGCAGCCCCAATCGTGGCCTGGGATAGCCTGGACTACGTGCTGTACATCTACAAAGTACAGAAATATGTACAACAATAATCACCAATTATCGTTCATTAATATTCATTAATATTTCAAGAGACAACAGGATTCTAGGGTGCAAATTTATGCTTCAGACCAAGAGCTGTTCACGTTGGATCTTTAGCCTGACATAACTACTCATCTAATAATTTTTTAATGGAAAAGGTTCCCTTCCCAAGCAACTTCCTCAAATAGTTTGCCTTTGCTTCAGAGCAGCCTGCTACCCAACTTCAGTGTTTGGAACAGCAGGATACAGGGGAGAAAGAACGGTTGTTCAATGGCAGAACACATGCTTTGTTTGTATGCAGAAGGCCCTGGGTTCAACCCCTGCCATCTCCAGTTAGAAGAATCAGGTAAAAGGTGGTGGAGAAGTCATCTGTCTGATACTCTGGAGAGCTGCTGGTCAGAGTAAGTAATACTTAGCTAGACGAGTAAACTCTCAACTTGGTAAAACTGTTTCTTCCTAAACTGTTCCAGAAACCCGAGTCCAGTTCTACCACTGGAAATAAATGAATTAGGAAGCAGACAACAACAAGCAATATTAGAGAATATTCTAGAGGAAGACATTTTGGTATCTGAAGCAGAAAAGACAAACAGACTTTTACAAGGTGGTAAATATAGGCACAAAAATAGAAAGCTGTATTACACAGCGCCAAACCACTAGCCCATTCAGCTCAGTTTTGTCTACAGCGAGTGGCAGCAGTGGTTCTCCATGATTTCAGACTGGAAGGTCTTCTCAGTCCTAGCTGAAGATAAGCAGGATTGAATCTGGGACCTTCTGCATGCACCACAGATGCTCTGTCTCACAGCTACAGCCCTTCTCAAGTATGATAATTAGCTACACTGCTTAAATTTTCTGCCCTTTAGCAGTATGCCAAATTCTGCCACCTAAAGCAAGCCTTCTCACCCCATCTAACCACCCAAGGGATTAATTGAAACAATCAAACCATACATCTGGTACTGAAGTGATTTGGACCATAATCCAATAATACTTTTTAGATGTGCCTAATAAATTTATCTGCAGCCACTTCTAAAGCAGTTACTCTAGTTCCACTACTTTAAATGGGTTATTGGTACTGCCTAGGTTCGAACAGATTGTACCCATGACTGCAGCATGGTGAACGATCTGTGAGATAACGCATGGCAAAGCTAGTCACACAACACTGCACAGTTCCACTGAACCTACTATGACAGACAGTCAACACACCAGTAGGGTTGTGTCAAATGGCCCTGATTGGCATGGCTCACAGAAAATGTAATGCATCAGGTGTAAATGTTATACTAGTCAAGTTAACCCATTCCTTTGAATTGGCTAAGATACAGGGCAGCCAAACAAAAGAGCAACTCTGACTTAATGACATCTTTATTAAGACACTTGACCAAAAAAAAGCAACCATTTACTTCCCTTTCAAGATTTGTCATAGAACATATTACTTGATCAACACTATCTAGTAGCTTTAAAACCGACTGGTCTGAGTAATAGAATTGTTTTATGGACGATGAGCCTTTTATTAAGTGGGCCAAACAGCTTTTGAGTCTCACCACATCTGCTTGCTTTCAAGACACCAACTCAGCCCTCCTGGAGGTCCTTCTTTGATGGGCATGAAAACTCTCATCTTGGGCACCCAAGCAGTTTGAACAAATCATCTCGTTAAAGCAAAACCTTCGCTAACCTGTTCTGCGAGGAGCTCAAATAACAACCGCAGCAAAGTATTGCAGGGCTGGCACTGCCCCTGTGGCTGAGAGGCTGCTACTTTACATTCCCTGGGAGACCCTTGCAGAGGGCCACGACCTCAGTCAGTGGTAGAGCACCTTACTTGCAGAAGGCCCTCCTGCCCTGTTCGAGCCCCCGCATCTCCAGGTGGGGCTGGGGCAGACTCCAGCCTGAAGAGCCAGCCAGCCTGATGGGCCTGACTCAGTATAAGGCAGCTTTCTGTGCTCCTAAATAGGAAACTGCTTCTGAGACGGAGAAACTGAGCCCAGAGCAGCTCTGAACAATGAGGGTTGCCAAGTCCTGAGGAGGAAGACCCTGTTACCTATATTAATTCCACCAGGGGAGCTTTTGCCCATGTTAATAATGCTGCAATGGGTGGTCGTCTCACCAGATTGGGAGGAGGTGAGCACTTTGCTCCCTTAGACCAAGAAAGGGGACCGTCTGTTTTGCAAGACAGGCCGGGGGATTTGAGGGGGGACCCCTGCTCTTTGCCCTCCCTTTCTATTCAGTTCTCAAAAGCGCAGCGCAGCGCTCTCCGAGGTGCCGCGTCTGGAGAGCCCCGCTCAACCACCCAGTTTCTGCCACGCCAGCCAGCCAGCCAGTCCGTCGTCCCTTCCTCTCTTTCTCTCTCTCCCCGCCGCCCCGCCACTTCCCCCCGGGCCAGCCGCCTAGAGCGCTCCGTAAAAAGGGAAGTGCTTCGCCGCCAGGAAGGCAGAAAGCGTCGGCCACCGACAGCCCAGGGGGCAGGAGGCGCAGCCCTGGCTGGAGCCTTCCCGGCGCCCTGGAGGCAGGAGGGCCTGGCTGCCTCCCTCCTGACTTGCCTTGAGCTGCGACTTGGAGACTTTGCCGCTCCTGTCCAAGTCGAGGGCGGTGAAAGCGTGCCAGATGGGCTTGAGCAGCTCGTCCTTCGGGCTCCCCATGGCCCGCCAGCTGCAGCGACTCCGCGGCGCTCGCTCCCGCCTCCTCGCGCCTCTCTCTCCCCGGCGGAGGCTGCCGCGACACGGGCGGCCGCCTCGACCTGCCCACCCGTAACCGCGCCCAGCGGCCAACCCCGACGCCGCCTTGCCAGGGCCGGGCGAGGGAGGGCGGCGCGCGAGGGAGCGCACGGCCTGCAGGCTGCGTCCGCCTCGCGAGAGGGCGCCTCTGTCGCCGCGCTCAGGAGCCCTCGGGGAGGGAAGGGCGCTGCTTTTCCTAATCGCTGCCGGACCGTCCAGAGCCTGGCGTCTAAAAGTGGACCCCGGCCTTGTCTCTGATCGTGGGCGGGGCTGAATCTCAAAGCCGAAGAGGTCAGGTCCTCCTCGGGGTTGCAAGACGCAGAAGTGCCCTCCCCCCGCGCGCGGAATCAGAATTACTCGGCGGCGAGTCTCAGAGTTTGTTGTTGTTTAGTCGTTTAGTCGTGTCCGACTCTTCGTGGCCCCATGGACCGGAGCACGCCAGGCACTCCTGTCTTTGTCCATGGAGTTTTCTTGGCAGGGATACTGGAGTGGCTTGCCGGTTCCTGCTCCAGGTGGATCACGTTTGGTCAAAACACTCCACTGTGACCTGTCCATCTTGGGTGGCCCTGCGCGGCATAGCTCATAGCTTCTCCGAGTTACTCAAGCTCCTTCGCCACGGCAGGGCAGTGATCCATGAAGGGGAGTCTCAGAGTTACTTCCAAGTAAATGGGCTTAGAACTGCAGCCTTCGAACAACAAAATGACTTGCACTCCTTGGCAGGTTTTGAATAAACATCCACAAATTTATTAGTAGACTATATGACAGACAAGGCAATGATATGTACAATTTTTAACATGTAGAGAATGATATGTACAAACAAATCAGAGAGGGGAGCTGAGGGGGGGTAGGGAAGGGGGGAATAAAAAAGGGGAGAAATGTAATTGGTTATTTCGATTAATAAACTATTTTGTTAAAACTGTTTAATAAAAATATATTTTTAAAAAAGGAACTGCAGCCTTCGCTGAGCTGGGGGCTTCCGGGGATGATCTCAAAAGCTTCGCCTCCGCTGATATTATCAACATTTCTCTTTTCTGAAAAACTAGCAAGGATGTGGAAAGTGGAAACGATCTGATGCTGGAAGAGATGCAGTATTCTGACCTCTCTTCCCTCTGTCAGCTTGACTGTACAGGGTGGATTTTTATTAGCAAAATACTTTATCTTTCTTTTGTTGTGTGTATGACTGCTTTTTTATATAAAAAAGGTAAAGGTACCCCTGACCGTCAGGTCCAGTCGTGGACGACTCTGGGGTTGTGCGCTCATCTCGCTCTATAGGCTGAGGAAGCCGGCGTTTGTTCCGCAGACAGCTTCTGGGTCATGTGGCCAGCATGACTAAGCCTCTTCTGGTGAATCTATTGTCATATTCACCTATTGTGCTTTAGATGTGAGAATAAGATCCCACTTGTTGCTTAGGATTTTCCCAATATGTTTCTAATTAACATATTTTTTTCTATCACTGCTCTAGACATAACGGTGGTATTGCATTGGCCTAAGCTTCCAGCAGCCCCTTATATTTACTAAAATAAAAGCATTAATGGTCAGGAAAAGTTTTGTAATAAATGCATGACTGGGATTCAAAGGGATATTATTCCTACTACTTCTACTATTTTATAACTTATTATTATATTTATTTCAGATATGGAGTAGTGTCCCAAATCAAATTGCAGCATGAAATACATTAAAACTCTGTATAAAACTGTCCTTGGGTGTTGGGGTCACATAAGGCTTTATAGGTCCAAACCTGAAGAGCAAAAGTGCTCCTGAGTGTTTGGCCAGTCATGGTAATAGCTGGAATGGAGTGTCAAAGCAATATAATTTGAACAAGGCAATGTGTATTTATGTACAGTGGTACCTCGGGTTAAGTACTTAATTCGTTCTGGAGGTCTGTTCTTAACCTGAAACCGTTCTTCACCTGAGGTACCACTTTAGCTAATGGGGCCTCCCGCTGCCGCCGTGTGATTTCTGTTCTCATCCTGAAGTAAAATTCTTAACCCAAGGTACTACTTCCAGGTTAGCGGAGTCTGTAACCCAAGGTGTTTGTAACCCGAGGTACCACTGTATTAGCAAGTTTCTAGGAATGTTCTCGGGATGCGGGTGGCGCTGTGGGTTAAAGCCTCAGCGCCTAGGACTTGCCGATCGAAAGGTCGGCGGTTCGAATCCCCGCAGCGGGGTGCGCTCCCGTTGCTCAGTCCCAGCGCCTGCCAACCTAGCAGTTCGAAAGCACCCCCAGGTGCAAGTAGATAAATAGGGACCGCTTACTAGCGGGAAGGTAAACGGCGTTCCGTGTGCTGCGCTGGCTCGCCAGATGCAGCTTGTCACGCTGGCCACGTGACCCGGAAGTGTCTGCGGACAGTGCTGGCCCCCGGCCTATAGAGTGAGATGGGCACACAACCCCAGAGTCTGTCAAGACTGGCCCATATGGGCAGGGGTACCTTTACCTTTACCTTTAGGAGTGTTCTAGAGCCAGTCTATTTGTGTTAAGCCCTCCATTTCTGTGCAAACTACCTTTTCTCCCCATTTCAAGTCACTAAAACCCCCCATGTGAGCTCTAAGTGTGTTTAACCTGAGACCAGATAGATATAATTATAGATGTGTGCAATGATCTGGTGAGCAAGCATAGATAAATCAACATCCAGCCTCCCCCCCCCCCATTAAAAAGGGCGTGCTTGCATTTCTGTAAACATACAGCAGAGATGTAGAGATGTGGAGATTCCAAGTACAAATACGGTATATTTTGTCTTTAATGAGGTGCACTATCAACATAGTTTGTGAATGTTTTAATTTAACACAAATCTTTTGCGCATTCAGACTTACCATCTGAAAATTCAGAAATATGTTCTGCAAATCCAGCTTATATTTATTTTCAACCAAACAGGATAATGGTGCTTTTAGGCAGTAGCAGGGAAATTGCCTCACCATCTCCTAACGTGACTCATACCTTTAAAAGGAAGCATTCAATAGACTCTGCCTGGTTCAGCAGAGGTTACCATGACCTTTCCCGTAAAAGCTTAATGACTCTTTGTTTAGCCAATTAATAAATATTTTTGCAGCTATACACTATACAATTGAAAATGTAGGCTGCAGTCCTACTGAGCACACTTACTGAGGGTGTACAGATGAGTAAAGTATGAGGAAATCTGACTGGTAGATAACTTTTCCCCCCAGCTTGGTTTATCATCCAGGAAAGTGTCAATCACCATCCTGAAGTGATTGTCACCCAGATTAAGTCTTCTTGCAAGATGTCTTATTGCTTGAACTCTTATTTACTTCTCTTAGCTTCTACACAGATGAAATTAAGTTTAAGCAAGATGTAAATAATCTAGCAGCACAGAACTTGAAAGGAATATGGCCTTGTTTGTTTATTTATTAAAACTTTAACAATTTGGAACCTGCATATTTAAAAGACTTCTCCCACAATACTAGGTACCTACTGATATTATTGTCAGAGGGCCTGCTTCAAGTTCCATTGCCACCAGAAGCCAAATTGGCTAGGGCATAAAACAAGACTTTCAGCTGCAGCACCCATAGAGTGGATCATTCTACTCTGGCAGGGCCGGGCTGGCCCTCTTTTTATTCTGGTGTGCTTCCCAAACCATTTTGTTTTACCACACCTTTCGTTTGATTTTGTTTTCCCATCCTCTGGGGTTTTAATATCTGGATTTCTGTTTAGTCTTGATTGCATTATGGATTGCTTAGTGTGTTGACTGATGCTGTCAGCTGCCTTGGTGGCCCCATGAGGGGCTGAATGGTGGGACAGAAATATTTTAATTAATTTACAACACACTATAATATAAACGTCTGCTGTCTAAGAATACTGTAGGCATCAATACTTTACACAGGATCAAACAAAGCATTCAAGGTAGACAGGCAAATGACACTGCACTGATAAGCTACAGAGCAGGACATCTGCCAGGGAAGTCATCTAAGGGTTTGGAACATGCCTAGAGGAGGGCAACAAGGATAAATAAGGAGCCTGGAGACCAGGTCCTTTGAGGAAAGATTGAACAAGTTGTATATGCTTGGTCTAGAGAGGAGCAATTAAGAGGTGACTGATGGTCATCTTCAAATATTTGAAAAGTTGTCATTTGGAGGGAGCAAATTTGCTTGCTGTTGGTCAGGAGGGTACAATAGGTTAAAATGAGGTGAAAGGGGATTTGGATGTTAGGAAGAACATCCTGATAGTAAAAGCTATTTGACACTGGACCAGCTTGTCTCAGTAGCAGTCTCTCCTTTGTTTAAGAGTTTTTAAGCAGAGGTTAAAAAGGTAAAGGTACCCATACGGGCCAGTCTTGACAGACTCTAGGGTTGTGCGCCCATCTCACTCAAGAGGCCGGGGGCCAGCGCTGTCCGGAGACACTTCCGGGTCACGTGGCCAGCGTGACATCGCTGCTTTGACATCGCTGCTTTGCCAGAGCCGCACACGGAAACGCCGTTTTTACCTTCCCGCTAGTAAGCGGTCCCTATCTATCTACTTGCACCCGGGAGTGCTTTCGAACTGCTAGGTTGGCAGGCGCTGGGACCAAACAACGGGAGCGCACCCCGCCGCGGGGATTCGAACCGCCGACCTTTCAATCGGCAAGCCCTAGGCACTGAGGCTTTTACCCACAGCGCCACCCGCGTCCCCCAGCAACATTCCAGCAGAGGTTGGAATGTTGTAAACACTGGATTTCCTACATCAATAGGGGGTTGAAGCTTTAAGGTCAATTGGGGGACTTTGAGGTCTCCTTTCAAGTCTCTGTGAATAGATTGACTTTTAAAGAGGTGCACTACTAGCTACTGTTTTTGCATAAATAAAATACATAACATGAGAATCTGAGCTTTTCACAGTAAAGTGGAGTAATGCAGCTTGTTTTTACACCTTCCTTCCCCTGCTTCATGTTTCAGCCAGAGCCTCTGTGTACACTGCAGCAACTCAAGTGTGAAAATAATAAGAGAGTCATGCAGCACCTTAAGGGCTAACAAATTTATTATGGTGCAAGGTTATGTGCCCCACTTCATCTGGTGCAGGACATGAGATCTTGGTTGCCATTTAAAGAATAAAACTGTAGAGAGGGGACATCTGTCATGGATGCTCCCCACCCCCCACACTGCAGGAGGTTGGACTAGACCCTCGGGGTCTCTTCTAATCCTACAATTCTGTGATTCAATGACTATCAATGAGATGCAAAATTTGCTATCACAGATAATTAGTGCTTAAATATACAAATAACCTTTTACAGTGGCAGGTTGCTGATAATTGCTGAGATGGTTGTATTAACAACTATAGTGAGTCGGGGAACCTTTGTGTAAACAGACAATGGTTTTAGCTTCATAAGAGTGTCCAGTCTAAAAAAAAAAGGGGGGGGAAGAAAACCATAAACCAA